AACAAGAAAAATATAATAGTTAAAACACAGTTTATAAATAAAAAAGAATATACTATCTTAAGATGCTCTTTTATGATTAAGACAATTGAACTATTAAACGAAAATATTTTTCTGTCTTTGTTAAAGTAATTTATTCTGGTAAAGTTTCCCGAAAATATTGCTCAGATTATACTGCCATAATTTATTTAGGTCAAGTTACAAAAGTTTTAAACCAATTGTCTTTTACGCCTTTCTTAAGTAGGGCTATTTATTTTTCGTAGCAAAGTTTATTTTGCTAAGCTAAAAATAAACAGATGTTAAATAAGGAAGAGAAATATGAACAATTTTTAATAATTTGTTATAAGGCCATACCTACACGGTGTTCCGATATTCCGTGAACAAAGATATTGAAAGATATTGATAGATATTGAAAATCAAATGTTAAAACATTTAGCAAAACATAGGTAACACAAATCCTATTCAAATCGGAATACCGGTTCTTCAAATATTTTATTAAATGTGTTTATTTTTTAAAATTTGATGCCCTCTAACGGACAAATGAAGCACTATTATATACCAGGGTATTGAAACCACAGGGTATTGAAACACCCAGTATACCTTTATTTTTTGAAAACTAGAAATGAAGAACGTTGTTATCTAGATACCACAATTAGATACACAAACGTTATGTTTTTGGCGCAAAATTTCTTGCATTTTATTGCTAATTTCATTATTTTCCGAACTTTTTCCTTAGGGATCAGATATAATCATTCTTCCCTTAATAATAATGGGAGCCATGCTAGTTATTGGTGGACTATCTTCACTTCTACTGCCAGAAACATTGAACCAACACCTGCCGCAAACATTAGAAGATGCAGAAAATAACATGCTGGATTTTTTTGCCTGCTGCGCCTTACCTCAGAAGTCAGATGAGTTGCGAACTAATTCTGATTTTGAAGACTCGCGGATGTAGAAATATAAAAAAGTCGTCGCAATATTAACCACTTCATCATAAATGAAACTTATTGTGGTTCGTTTTTAATAATAGTTATGGATTACAAGATTATTTTAAGCTTTTTTAGTTGAATTTTGTGTTTATAGCGATTTTTTGGTTATTTTTAACATCGAAGTAAAGAAGATTTTGGGGAAAAAATGTAGACTAGTATAAAATATTTTTATTAAATAATATACATAATATAGGTTGCCTTTTAAGTTTTTACAAAATGTTTTATTGCTTTTCGAAATATTCGTCCTTAAGGTCTATACCTACATTTTTACATACACTCAAACCAATTCTGGAAACATTTTTCAGCAAGTTTATATCGTAGAAACATGATTTTGACATCTTCAACAGCTTCTTGAGGTGATGAAAGTCGCTGTGGGGAACAAGAAAATGTAATTTAGGCGATAAATCGGGTAAATACGGGCAATGAAAGTTGTATTTCTCCTTCAAATATTCAGTTGTCTGACGGGTTTTATGAGATCTGGCATTGTCGTGATGACGAATGATGCGACGTTTTTTGTTCTTTTTCCTTATTTCATCAAAGACCGTTGGCAAACAAATTGTTGTATACCATTCGGCATTAACAGTTTTTCGATCCTCTAATGGAATGGTTGCCACGCATGATACAAAGAAAACAAGGTTGATTGATAGCGGCTCCAATTTCGTTCAGTTTGCGCATACCACCTGTGACGTCATACGCCGTACAAAAAAATATCCGTTTTGTTCAATTGCCACTAATATAATATAATAGAAAAAGACCTAAAATAGGGAAGAATTACGACATAACCTCAAAAGTTATGTCAAATTATTGAGCTTGACATTTGAAAAGTAATTTTCACATTCTTATGTGTCATCAGTTTGACGATTTGAAATTGGCGCGCTGAGCTTTCCGACCAATGGTGCAGTTAGCACCTGTGACGTAGTGACCAAACCTGCGCAATATCATACCTTGTTTTCTTTGTATCATGGTTGCCACGTGTCCAGTATAACCGAAGAAACAAGCGATTGTAAAAACTTAAAAGGCAACCTACGTATAGTATAAAAGTAAAAAATAAATACAGTCTAATACAAATTTAATATTTTAGGCCCAGAGTATTATCAATTGATTGTTTATTATAAAATTATGGTTATATAAATCAATAATACTAAATAATACAACTTACTAATAGACCCAGACATAATTTACTAGTTATTTAACAGTTACTTGTAACTGTTATTAGTCAGATCAGACTCAATGTTACTCACTACTAGATCAGTTACTCTAACTGATGGTCAAAAAGGCGTAATACGTATTTTCGTTTTTTTTTTTTACTTTTTGTTTTTGTTATTAAGTATGCCAGTTATGTATATTAAAGTTTATAGTTTATAAGATATATTTGGAGTTTTATTTTAACCTTCCGAGGTAAGTAAAGGTATATGACCAATGTTTAATATTAATTTTTTCACACCCTGTATACATTTTAGCTTCAAATTTTAATTTGGCTTAACATACAATGGTTATTTTAACTAAATGTCAAGGTACAAAGGGTCTCTATTACAATTTAGGTAGCTTTTATTGAAATATAAAGTGTATTCTTCGTTTTCAGAAATGTGTGCTGTATTACAAAAAGCCCAACGTTCATTTTTTGGGGATACCCTGTAGAATCCCGTATTAATGCTCCCATTTACCCATTATTACAATCTATCATTCTCCTTGGAGCCTCCGAGCTGTATGATATAAGCTAACATAGGTTTAAAAAAATATTATATTGTTATTTCATTCTATAAGAGGCTATTAGACATAATGCTTTTTAAAAAGATTTCTATTTTATTTTAATTTTTACCATATACATAAATATATCTATGGTAGGTTTAGAAAAATATTAAATTAATCTTTGAGACACTCTGTACTATTTGTAACATTTTTTTAAATTATTTTTATTCTAAATTTTAAGTTATCTATTATCTTCAAAGTGTATCAAAATTAAATCTAAAATTTTGGGACACTCTGTATCAAAATTATTTACATCAAAAAAGATTTCTCTAAATCTAAACAAAAAACTTCGAGTATTTTGCGCAGTACAAATGCCGGTACGCTGTTGTCATGGAAACTGTCGTTTTTCAGTTGTTTTGATCACAAAATATATGTCAAAATTTATGGTTAAAATCTTGTTAAAATGTACGGTATTCTTGCGGTATTCTGTTTAAGCATTGTGAAGTGTTTTCTGAACTTTTTGTAAGGAATCAGATAGTAAAAGTGTATAAATTCGTTAATATTGATTATATAATTAGTATTTTTCCTTATCCGAATGAGATTTTGAATATTATAGATGAATTTGTTTTAAAATCGAATGGCTCCCACCTCTGTTGAAAATATTTTACAGTTGTTATAAGTTATAACCTTGTTATAAGGAACAATTTTTGTATAATATTTATTAAAGTGTGTTACAGACAGTGCCCTATTAACTGCAGCTATTTCAGGTAAGTGATTTTTTTGTAGTTTTTGATTTTTGAATACTCCTAATATTAGATAATTAATTTTGCTAGTTTATCTGTTATAATTGTAATGAAAATATAGTGTATCTATATATAGGAAAATATTTTCTATTCATCAATATTTTGATGATTGATTGTCATCTTTCAAGCTTAGATATACCTATATAAGAAATGTTATAACTCGTTTATTTTGTTATGACAAATATTTGAAGTTATATTTCCATATTATTTGAATGGCATTTGAAGTTTTTCGAAGTTTTGATTTTTAAATAAAAAGCGATGTTAACAAAAAATTAACTAATAAAAAATATAATACCACCAATTGGTCTGTTACAATGGGGAAATGACTTAGTAATCAATGTACAGGGTGTAAATAGCAGAGTGAAAAAAAAATTGGAAGTGATTGCTTACAAAATAGGTTACGAAATAAAGGGGGATGTTCAAATAAAAATGATGTGATGTTTAATACAGCTACTACTTGACATTTAATACAGCTACTCAGTTGTACAGGGTGGACCAAAATCACAAAATTCCCTATTTGTTCCAAAAACGGCTTATACTAGAAAATTAAAATTTGATTTGTGCTTGGCACTAATAAAATCGAGTTTTTTAGTACAATTATTATTTAGTTATGTCATATACAGGATGTTCAAACCATTTACTACACTTGCAATGTTTTCTGTAGATATGTATTTTTTTATGAAATCAAGATTAGATTCGATGCTTTACTAGAGATTTTATATAGAGTGTTCAAATTTTCAATAATTTGCTGTATATTGAGTCCTAGAGAATTGAATTTTAGTGTGTTGATGGCTCTAATCAAATTTTAAAAAAAGTTAATCAAATATTGACAACCACCTATTATAAATTTTTGCGATTTTATAAATTTGTTTGAAATTAAATATCTGCTACAATTGAACCTTAAGAAAAAATGTTAATTTTGTAGATATTTATAAGAATGTGTGACAGTGCCCTTGAAACTGTAACACTTTTTTTGGTAAGTAAATTCAATATTATTTTTGTTAAATGAAAAATTGATAAAATTTCTTTAATTTCTTTAACCATTTTTGAAATATTTGCAAATAAATGTCCAAAATAACATTTTCAGAACTGAAGACAATTAATAATTATTGTTGGTGTATTTTAAGCATTGTTTTTTTCAAACTGCTTTTAAGAACAGGCAGATATTTTGATAGAATATTATTTTATACAGGGTGTTCCAGAAATAAGTGCAAGTATTTTAAGGGGTGGTAGATCTTGATAAAAGAAACACATTTTCTCTTTGTTGTTTTTCAAATAAGTCCAAAATAACGGAGTTATTTTACTTTGAAAATTTCCAAAAAAAATGATTTTTTGCTAAAATTTTGAGAACCACTCAATTTTTTTTTCTCGCGAAAAAAACCTCATAGGCATGTTTCTGGGGTCGAACTATACTACCAGTTAAAATACTTGCACTTATTTCTGGGACGCCCTGTATAAATTCAGAATTAAGCCATAAGGAATTACGTATTTCAAAAATGACAAACTAAAAAGCAACAATGTACTATAAATCATATTTATTTTCATTTATATACATATACATTAAAAGGTACATATAATTGGCACTGCACATATTTCGTTTATCTAGAAACACTGCTTATAGTATAAACAATATCATTTAATTTTCTCTATTACACCTAGGTTCTTCTCTCCTGCTAAACCTGCAACAAAAAAAAGTAAAATTATTTTCATAAGAATGCTCCTAATAAATTAGTATTCAGGGTGTTTGAAAAACATGTGCCAACCCTAGTCGGGAGATTCCTCACGTAAAAATAAGATTAATTTTTCATATCAACATATATATGTAGGTCCGATTCTGCTTTGTTTGGTAGCTACAGGGGGTTAAAATCTAAATATTTTTTTGATTTATTATAATTTTCTTCCAAGTACTTCTAGCGTTTCGAATGAAATTTTGATGGTAAAAATAATTATGAATGCGACATATTTTAAAGCTAAAAAAGTGTCAACATATTTACCAGGGACGTGCATATGGGTTATCACTGGAATATTTTTTATAAAAAAACATGTACGCCACTGACTTTTTTCTCCTCTTGTTAGCAAAATAATGTAAGCTGATTATTGCGGATTAAAAGTTGTCTCTTGATCTTTTGTCGATTTCGGTCTCCTTGATGAGATAAACGCAATTTTATTAATTTGTCTTTATCCAAGCCTAATAGCAACCATTAAAAAAATTTAATATCATTAACCTGCGAAAGTTTTAAATAAGTACTCATCGATTCCTCGTAAAAAAATATGAAAAAAAGTTCCTAAACATGGGTATAGAAATGCATAGTTTTGAGTTACAGGATGTTAAATCTTTTTAAAATTAGTTTTTCTGTAATTATCTAAAATACCTTTATTTTTTATTTGCAAAAGCTGTAGATTGGACTAATAGAAATAATAACTGTTAGTTATAATATTTAATAATAAATTAGGTAAAATATATAATTTATTAATTTTTATTTTATTTAATATCTTTTTGGATCAAGTTTTAATTTGATTTAAAATACAATAGTTAATTTAACTACATATTAGGCTATACCGGGTAAATTCCAATTTAGGTAGCTGCTATTGTAATTTAAAAATTGTTCTTTATTTCTAGAAAATGTTAAATATGTCAAAAATCTTTTATTTTAGCCATATACTTCTCTTATAAAACTCACCTTTATTTTTCTCCCAGAATCCGAAAATCAATTAATATATAGGGTGTTCCATTATAAAAAACAAAACTTTGATAAGTAACGATAATTGGGGACACCCTGTAGAACTCTATATTTTTACAAAGTGCCCTGAATTAATTGGCACACTGAACTAATAGAATCATATCAATTCTCTCTAATGTAGGATAAATTTGCATTTTCGGCAAATTTCTGAGAATTTTTTGTTTTAACTGACACAAAATGATAACTAGCTTTTAAACTGCGACTACCTAGACAGCTATATTGAAGTAACATCAGACATATCACAGCCACCCTAGATTTTATCAAACAATAAAGATCTACTCAGATCAAATCATGTAAATGAAAATATCTAGGAAAATCTTTGTTTGAAGGGTAGGCTACAACCTTAATAGTATTTTTAAGAGACATGAATTCTCCATTGAATATCGGAATCATGTACTGGGTGTTCCATTTAAAATAAAAGAGTAAAATGCTTTTAAAGGTTACCAATGTTCAATATTAATTTTGTCTCACCCTGTGTAACTTTTTGGATCAAGTTTTAATTTGATTTAAAGTACAATAGTTAATTTAAATACGTATTAGGCTATACCGGGTAAATTCCAATTTAGATAGCTGCTATTGTAATTTCAAAATTGTTCTTTATTTCTAGAAAATGTTAAATATGTCAAAAATCTTATATTTTAGTCTATACTCTAATAAAACTCATCTTTATTTTTCTCCCAGAATCCGAAAAGCAATTAATATATATGGTGTTCCATTACAACAAACACAACTTTGATATGTAACTTTTTTGGGGACACCCTGGAGAACTCTCTATATTTTAATAAGTGCTCTGAATTAACCTACATATGCTTACAAAATTTCATTTCAATACAGACTGTCGTTCTTCTTCGAACCTCCGCGGCGTATGAGAGGCGCCACCCTGTACAGCCGCTTTAATTCTTTAATACTAACTAAAAGATCCGAGATTATCGGTAAATCCACAATCGAATAAAACAACTAAATGAGAGAGACAACTACTAAACGACAAAAGACTTTGCCAAATTCCATCTCCTAAATACGATTAAACCTGCGTAATTAAAAACAAATCTCCGAACAAAAGTCTACCTTTCTCCGTGAGTTCGTTAAGTAACCACCTCTCCCTCCCATCCTCTTTCCTGATTTTAAGTCCCTTTTAGCCGGCGAGACTTAGTGCACATCGTTTGTCCGAAAGCCCGTTAGACAATGAGATTTAGTTGCGGATTATCGGTATCCTCGGAGCGTTCCTTGAATACTTATCCGCTAGTTGAACAACTGTTTTATCGTTTTAATTGAAAATTGTACGTATTTACTTACTAACAACTGTCAAATTGATTTTTCTGTCACTGTAGATCATTCATCCATATTGTCAGCTAGTATAATTATTATACAGGGTGTCCCAGATTGAGCGTGCATTAGAAGTTTCTAGAGATCTACAATATCTAGATCGGAGATTTTTTGTCCATTATTGTTTTACGAGATCTATCAATTAAAAATATTTACAATATGGCGGCACTTCCGGAAATACCGGAAGTTGACAGCAACTTCTTTATTTTAAATAGGTGTCCCCAATTTTTTTATTACATATTTAAATTCTCTGTAAAATTTTATGAATTTTTATGTTATACACTCTATATCTAACATTAACCGTTTTTGAGAAAAAAAAATATTTAAAATTTTTGGACGAAAAGAACTGCCTGTCAAAAATATGTGTATAGTCTAAACGTCAAATTTAGTGATTACCACAACTACTGTGCCATATAGAGAAGACATATGGCTATCCATTTCAAAAATTAAATTGTTCGAATATCATATAATAATGGCCACAACTGTCATTGAATTGAGCGATTAAAAAATATTCATAAATCATTTTTTTCAAATAGAAAGCCACTTTTTTCATTTCACTATTGAAAAGGCTTTTCAATTCGTTACTTTTTGGCTATACATATATGTTCCTATATATACCTAAAATAAATCGTAGATCATCATAGATCCATGTCATATTGTGACACTTTGTTTAAAAAGCAGTATGTTATCTATCATAATTTCCAAGCCAACTTTGCGCTGTTTTTTTTTGATCATATATTATTAATAATATAAACTATGAAATATCACTAAAGGGCGAAAATACGGGATATATTTTTATAAATACACTTTTTAAACTTTTTTAACCAGCAGTATTTACAAGAAATTCAAACAATTCGCTTTCTGACAGTTAAATTGTCTGCCTGTTTGACACTTAATGTCAAAGGAAGCTAGATAAAATCAAGAAAAATGTACGATTTTAAACTTAATCTTAAATAATTTAAAAACGATTTATATTAGATATAGGAATATGTATAGTTAAAAAGTTACGAATTAAAAAACTTTTTCTCTAGTGAACTAAAAAAGTGAGTTTCAAGTTGAAAAAAATGAATTATGATAACTTTTTAATCGCTCAATTCCATGACAGCTACCGCCATTATGATACGACATTTAAACAATATTTTTGAAATAGACTTTACAGTAGCTGTGGTAGTCACTAAATTTGACATTTACATAGGCTATACAATTTTTTTTGACAGGTAGTTTTTTTCGTCCAAAAATTGTAAATATTTTTTTTTTCAATAACGGTTAATGTTAGGTAAAGAGTGTTTAACATCAACATTCATAGAATTTTACAGATAATTTAGGTATGTAATAAAAAATGGGGGCACCCGTTTCAAATTCCGGTATTTCCGGAAGTGCCCTCGTATTGAAAATATTTTTAATCGATAGATCTCGTGTTAGTGACAATCGTAAATTGACAGAAGGAAACTTATTTTTAATTTAGAAAGAGACATTAAAAATCCAAATAAATTTAGCTACACATTGCTTGAAAAATCATTAAAATCGGCCTACGAGAACAAACTATATAAAACTTTAAAATAGATCAAAATTTTCAGGTGTACGTTTTTCGTGAAGAATTTCTACCAACCTTATACACATTGATTTAACCTTTTTTAAACTACAGCCATTACATAGATATTTCATTTTATTTTTGGTTGTTTTATGTGACTTCCTAACTTTTAATTGAAATCTTTGGGTCTTTCGAACAGCTTGCTCCCTTTCTTCATGTTCGGAAAGTTTTCTACAGGAATTTGAGACAGTTTGTATGGCACTGGAAAATCTATGTGCCGTATTTTAGGATTAAAGACGTAGCGAAAATTCAAACTGCAGGTTGAATCCCACAGGAATCGATAGAATGTAGATCTACTTTAATTTAACGAACTGTCTATATTCTTTAAGTTTCTTTTAAAGGTAATATATGGTTTTCCTTGAAATTCAATTTGTTTGTTTTTTCCATAGCAAATGTTAAAATTGCCTTATATCTATCAAAAATAGTAGATAAAATAGTACCTACTTTAACCGCAAGGGTAGATTAAATGCAAAAAAAGCAGTGCAAAGAAATTTCATGACATCTTCTGGGTTTAAAATTTTTGATTTTTTCGGTTTGTAACCGTTACATGACTGCTTCAAGAAAGTTATCAGCTTGCTATATCTACAAAGTTTAGATGTTACAATACTACTACGGAAATTTAAACGGTATAGCTTATCCTTAACCTTGAAATATTAATGTTTTCATTGACCAGTATTGTACTTTTTTAGCATTGAATAGTACGACCATAAACGATAAACGGACGGCTGCATTTTCTTTGATTTTGCAGAAAAATATGCTAAAAGTATGTTTTCACTTGCCCTTTCTTCACGCACGTTTTTTAATTGCTTCCATTTTTTTAAATTTTTGTATTCCTTTTCATAAGTTATTCGGGATTTAAATGGAAGTAGTTTGGATATGGCGTTTGTCGCCTCAGCCTGAATATCTGTTGGTAATTTACTTATTTCGTTTTGAGCCATTTCTGGCTCTAATTCAATCAGCAATCGACACGGAAGAGAATTAAAAAATATTGATTCAAAACTGACAACTAAAGAGGGAGCTTTAT